CAGCCTTTACCACGCCCCCCCAGCCAGTCATTGGATGAGGACCACCTGGGGGAGGGGCATGACCTTCAGCTGCTGTCTGCAGCAACACTCAGCAACTGTGGAGGGGCTGACAGTGGAGGCTGTGCGCTGACAGCACATCAGCAGCTGGGGCAGCATGTCCTTCACTGACGGGGTCTGGGTGGCACATCAGTGTCCACCACAGGGAGAGAATGATGGCTCAGAGGCCAGGAGATGGGAAAAGAGACATCCTTGAGGTGGGAATGGCTGACATCCAGAGCACCACTGGCGGTCAGGCTGGCCTGCAGCCTCCTCCAGTGTGGCAGAGGGAAGAAGGGGATGGGGAGTGGGTGGAGGTCAGCATGGAAGTTTGGTGGTGGGAAGGTGTGACAATCCCATGTCAGCATCTACCTTCTCAGAGAAGCTTTGAGAAATGCTGTCTCTTGTGGGAGAGAAGGAAAAAATGCTTGTCTCGGGGATTCAGAAAGTGGGCCTCCTGGAGATGCGTGGGAGAGTTGCAGGGCGCCTTTCTGTGCCCAGAGGAAGTTTGTGGTGGGAAAATTGAAGCGGACCAGTCATCTCTAGAGTGTGACTTCCTCCCTCAATGCAGCGGCTCGGGCCAGGAAGGGTGAAGACAGAGTGGGCTTTGGAGGATCTCCATTGCCAGGAGAGTGTGATGGAGGAGGGGCGGGGCTGCAGGCATTTGCCAAAGAGGAGCACGATGATAGACAGGGGTACTGAGGCTCAGAAGGGTTGTGTTTCTTATTCAAAGTCACACAGCCAGGAAGTGGTTGGGAACCAGATGAGGAAAAGTAATGCAGCTCTGCTGAGTCACATGTCAAGGTTCCGGCTTAGGGCACACTCTGGGGAATTTGGGGAGAGTGTTATGAAAGGACTACTTACAAAGGAGCTGGAGGAGAACAGAACGCACAGGAACAGCATAGGACCTTGGCGCTCTAAAGGGAGCCGCCTTTACGGCCCTGGCCCTGAAGAGGTGAGGGGGACAGCCATTGCAGAGCCTGGTGACAGCAAGGCTGTGTGGACAGGACTCCCTGACACGAGCTGTGTCTTCCAGGAAAGGGAAGCAGCCAACCTTTGATGACCCAGCCAAGTGGGCGCCTGGGGCATAAATACCTCTCCCTCAGTCTCCCACCCCCTTCTCTGCCCATTTCCCAGAGGGCGAGGCAACCTTCGGCCCAGAGCAGGGCGCAGCGTGGAGGAAGGATTAGGAGTCAGCGCACAGCCTGGACTCCTCAGCACGCAAGTCTCCAAACCAATTTGGGCATCACACTTCTTTTACTTCCAAGACAAGAGCGATCACCCCTCTCGTGTGATTTGCAGAGGGCTCCCCGTACATGGCAGCCTCACTGTGAGGACCGCTGCCCGAAGCCCGGGCCGCGGGGCGCCGGGTCCATCTGCGACCGCTCCAGACACGTTCCCTCGGGCGCAGATGGAGCTCGGCGCAGGGAAGCGGCTCCTTCCTCGGGGTGGAGCCTCCAGCCACCGCTACGAGGAATTTCTAATCCCCCGTCTGCGTGTGCGGGGCCCACCTCTGGCCGGGAGCTCCCCGTGCGGGCGGCGCCCTCGACCCCGGAAGAGAAGCGGGTACCGAGCGCGGAGACACCCCAACCTTGAGCGGCCGCAGGGGTCCGGAGAGCGCGGAGGCGCCGCAGGAGCCCGAGCTGAGGGTCGAGTCGCCTCCCCCGCGTGCCGGGGAGCCCGGCGGGCCCCGCCTCCCGCCGGCCGGCAGCTGCCGGAGCGCTCCCTGGCGGGCGGGCGTTGGAGCGGCGCCCGGCCCGGCGCCCTTGACCCCGGCGCGGGGAGGAGGCTCGCGAGCTCGCAGCTGTGAACCCCCGAGGGACGGCCTCGCTGGCGGGGGGCTGCGGGCGGGAAGAGGGTACGGGTTCCGGTGACAGGAACCAGGCTGCGGCCACCGGCTCCGGCAGCCCCAGGAAAGGCATCCTCTGCAGCCCGGCATGGAGGCCCCGGGTCAGGAGGCGGAGCCGGCGGTGCTTGAGCAGCTGGGGGCGCTCCCCTCCCGAGCCCGGAATCAGAGACCCTTCAGGCGGAAAATATCCCGGGGATCTTTTGGCTCAAGTCCCCTCTTTTACAGATGGGGAATTTTAGGGCCAGAGAGTGACACGACTGGGGTCACACAGCGGGTCGTTGGCAGCAGGACCTGGGGGAAGAGGAAAAGGAGATGGCCCCTTTCTAAAGGAGAGGGGCTGCCTGCCAGATTAGAACCCTCAGAGGCCCTAGGTGAGCACCCCCATTAGGTAATCCCACACAAACCAGCCAAAAGAAAACATAAAGCTAGAGGCCGCCTGTGGCCAAGTGGTTAAGTTCGCACGCTCCGCTTCGATGGCCCGGCGTTTCGCCAGTTTGGATCCTGGGAGCGGACCTAGCACCACTCATCAAGCCACTCTGAGGCGGCGTCCCACATGCCACACTAGAATGACCCACAAGTAGAATATACAACTATGTACTGGGGAGCTTTGGGGAGAAGAAGGAAAAAAACAGAAGATTGGAAACAGATGTTAGCTCAGGTGCCAATCTTTAAAAAAAAAAAAAAAGAAAATATAAACCTAACAGGTGTGCTGAAATTAAATTCGCTCCTTTCTAGATTTTCCGAGTAAAAAGAATCTGAAAAGTTTATCAAAGGTAAACCTTGCTCCCCGTTTGGGTGGCCGCGCTTTGCTGATGGCCAGGCTCTGGCGTGGGGGGACCCGGTACCGCTGAGCAATGGTTAAGGGCAGAGGTGCAAACTGGGTTCACAGTCAGCTTCGCCACCCGCTCGGTGCAGGGCTGGGCCGGGCCTCGGGTTCCGCATCCGCAGAATGGAACGATGCGGGAGAGGGCGTTTGCCAAAGACTGCGCCTGTAGCAGCAGCCGTGCGTGGGGATTTCGGGGCCCATCCCCAGCGCAGCGGGCGGAGCAGCCAAGCGGGCGAAAGGGCCACAGCGTCGGGTGGCGGCCCAGACCCTGTTGTGCCTGCCGCTTCAAAGCCCGCCCGGGCGCTGCTGGGGCCCCAGATGAGCAGCCGACCTGGGGCCGCAGAAACCCGGGCGGCGCTGCGCACCCCGGGCTACCGCATTGTTCCTCGTGGTGGCGACTGAACGCGCGCCGGCTCGACTCGGACGACGACTCGGCTCTGGGGTGCTCAGTCCTGCGGAACACTCCGGGCAATTTCCGACGCCCACATCTTAGCTTCCACTTCCTCCCTCCCTTCACCCCCGGAAAAAAAAAAATCCTAAAATACCCAGCAGCCTCGATTTGTAATCGCTCACTTTTCTTTTGCACAGGACTTTGCTAACCCTTGGGACAGAAACCATTTTTATTCGGATTATCAAAATCTTTTTTGAAAAACAACTATAAGATTCCCACCCATCCAGGCCTGAAGTTAGCCACATGGGAGCTACGATTCGCCTGAACACACACAAATCATAAACCACCACCAACCTCCGCACAAAATCCACCAAAGTCAGCACACTCGTAGCAACCTAAACATCAAAGACAGTAACTTCATTTCCCCCCGAAATAACGTGAATTTGAAGACACACCCTTCGGAGACACTAACGTTTCCCCTCTCACATATCCAAAATAAAGGGTCGAGTAAGGCTCAGAAATACATTCTCATGTTTTAGAAGTTTAAAAAAAGCAATTAATTAATTAAATTTTAAAAACTAAGGGTGAATAAGTCACTCCGAAGAACAAACACAACATCCAGCGAAAGGGGAAAAGAAAAGCTGAAAGAAATTCCTCCTGCGAATACAAAAGGGGGAGGAAAATCCTCTGCCTAAATTATTTCCCCCTCAATAGTTTTGTAGGAAAATGTCTTGGGCTCAAGGTAGTGACAAGGAGGTCGCGCAGAGCACATCCCCGGCGTGTCGGTACTTCGGTGGCCGCTGAGTTATCTGAACCCTCCCGGGTCATCGCCGCCTCTCTCGGCACATTTTCGAACCCGAGGCCCTAAAGGCAGACTGACTTTCTCAGTTTGCTCCCGACAGAGGGGAACCGACCCCGGGTTAGGGCTGCGGGGACTCTGGACACTTGGGGATATTTACTTAGCAGGAAAGTGAGAGCGCGCGGGGCTGGCGGCCGGTGGCCAGTCCGGGACAGCGCGGCAGAGCGACCAGGGCTCAGGTCGGTTCCGCCGCGCCCAACTGCGCGGTCGGTGAACTCCAGCGCGGGCGGCGGCTCTCGGTGAGTCACCTGGTGGGCGACACTCAGCTCCGGGGGCCACAGTGGGGTTGGAGTCGGAGGGAACTTTCTGTCCCGGGATGGCGCGCAGCCGGGGGTTGGAGGCCGGTTGCCCCGCAGGGGACAGGTTGCAGGCATCGAAAACTGTCTGAACACCACCAGGATGAACTTGAGCATCCCGAGCTTCCTACCTCCAAACGCCGGGCAAGAACGCAGCAGGGGGCGGCACCGCTCGCCGCGCTTCCCCAGCAGCTCCTTGGAAGCTCAGATCCTCCGCCCTCGCCCCTGCCCGGGGCCGGCAGGTCATTTTACGAAAGGGAACAGGGGAGAGCGGCTTTCAGTGGACCTTTGACTATTCAATAAGTGCAGCTCAGTGATCGATTTGCTCCAAGTTGACGTTTGACTTAAAAAAAAATATCGGTGACCAAAATCAACACCTATTAGAGTAACAGGTCAGCAAACCAAACTGTCCGAAATGAAGGCAAATGTTGGCTTTAATATTTATTAAGGGAAAAGGCAAGATAGAATTTTTTCTTAAACCTAACGTCCCCAACAAACCCATGTCGGGACAAAACTTTCTACATGTGACTTTCACAATCACTTTTCGACCGTGAAACTTTACCAGTCTCCACCTCCCAGTTAATTCCTCCCTTCGCTCTCCCGACCTTTCCCCAGCAGTTTGGGAAGCTATGGAAGATTTTTCCTGAGGACAGTTAACCGGCAGCCCGAGAGAGATCAAGTCCTTGCAAACAATAAGAAGGAAAGACTTAAAATTAAAAAAAAAAAAAAAAAAGTTGACAGTGATTTCCAAACATGCTTTCTTTCCATTTAAACTTCCTAAACCGGTGTCTGTCCGGGAACGGCCCCTCTCTGAGTCCCAGCGTGGGATGGGGGAGTTCGGGGGCCGCGTGACTCTCGCTTCTCCAGCCCCCTCCCTACTTCACTACACACACACACATATCACGAGCCCGCCCGCGAAACATCTGGATGGGGATTCGCGTTCCGAAATCAGGGCAACTACAGCCAAGGCTGGTTCCTGGGGAGCGAGCGCGGAAATGCGCGCGGGTGCCGGAGCGCACCACTCGGTAGGGGCAGAACTCTCCCAGCACTGGGTCACTCCAGCATCCTTCCCACCGTCTGCTCCTGTCAGCAGCCTCTGGCTCCGCCCCTCTGAGCCCGTCTCTTGTCCTGCAGCCAATAGCAATCCCGAATCGCTCTCTACCGCCCCAAACTCTTTCCACACCCCCACATACCGGGAGCCGGTTGGCTGCTGAACCCGCAGCGAAGCGCCCGTATTTGCATGGGGCTCTGGGTTTCTGGTAGGTGGAGCGACCCGTCACTCCGGAAGGCCGGGCCCGCCCACTCCAGCTCGCCCCGCGGCTCTGTTCCTGCGCAGTTTTCCTTCGCAGCCAGCGCCGGAAAGTGCCGGGGCTGCTCTCCAGGCTCAGTTCGCAGGACGGCGAAGGGGCAGCCCCGGAGAGCGGCCGTGCGCACTGTCTGGAGCGGCCAGGGCGCAGAAGTGCAGCCTTCTCCTGGCCCCGAGCGGGGCGTCGCGCCGCAAGAGCCGCCCCTCGGCCAGCAGTTGCCGCCACCCAGACTTTCGTTCCAGTTGCCGCTCCTCCCGGGCAACATGTCAAAAGCCGCCGCCGCTACGGCTGCCGCCGCCACCTGGGGAAGAGCAGCAGCAGCAGCAGCGGCCGCCGCGGGCGCGCGGGGGCAATAAACCGAACCACCCGGGCGTCCACCCGGCCAGGGAACTCTCTCCGCACTGACTACTCCGGCGGGACCGGCGCCATGTGCTGAGCCATGCCCCTCGCCGCGCCTGCGGGCAGCGCATGGGGCAGCTCCTGAGCGGCAGCCGATCCTGCCTCGATGTCCCCGGCCGGCTCCTGCCGCAGCCGCCGCCGCCCCCGCCACCGGTGAGGAGGAAGCTCGCGCTGCTCTTCGCCATGCTCTGCATCTGGCTCTACATGTTCCTGTACTCGTGCGCCAGCTCCTGCGCCGCCGCGCCCGGGCTGCTGCTGCTGGGCTCGGGGTCCCGCGCCGCCCACGCCCCGCCAGCCCTGGCCTCGGCTCCGGACGGGACTCCCCTCAGGCTGCCGTTCCAAGCGGCACCGGCCACCCCGTTGACTGCGGGCAAGGAGACGGCCGAGGGCGCCGCAAGCCAGGAGGAGCAGAGTCCCGAGGCGCCGGACTCTCCCAGCCCCATCTCCAGCTTCTTTAGTGGGTCCGGGAGCAAGCAGCTGCCGCAGGCCATCATCATCGGCGTGAAGAAGGGCGGCACGCGGGCGCTGCTGGAGTTCCTGCGCGTGCACCCCGACGTGCGCGCCGTGGGCGCCGAGCCCCACTTCTTCGACCGCAGCTACGACAAGGGCCTGGCCTGGTACCGGTGAGTTTGCCCGCCAGGGTCAGGGGCGCCAGCTGCGCGATCCTGCCCGGGAGAGAAGAGAGACGTGGCGTGTGCTGGGGAAGTGACATGGGTACAGCCTGGGACCACCGGGGGAGGGAAGGGAAGCGCGGAGGAACGACCGCGCGGTGCTGGCCGGCGGCGCCCAGGATCCTGCCCCAGCCCGGTACCGGGTGCGCCGGGCTTCGCTCTCGCCGCAACCCGTAGAAACTTCTCGAGGTGTTCTGGCGGCTCAGCGGTCCACGGTGCCCTAGAATTCATCAGGCGAGCTCTCCTCAAAAGAGGGGGTGGGGGGGCCAGCGACTGAGACGGCGCTCAGGGAAGGGCGCAACCCTCTAACTGTGGTCGTGTCCCAAACGAAATCAATCCAGTATTGCTCGTATTATATTTTTCCTCTCGGAGCCCGGGACGTTGTGCGCCCCGCCGGTCGCGGTCTCCGCCCTAGACCGACTTCCAGAGCAGCTTCTGCTCCCCAGATGGGGATGGGGGATGGGAGCGACGCAGTCTGCGAGGTCGCGGGGAGGCTGTTAACTTTTTCGTTACAGTCCTTCTCCTTGCTGGAACCCGAAGAGGGTCAGACCGGCTTCGCGGGTGAGCAGCCTGGGCTCGGGAGGGTGAGCTGGGCGAGCGGCCGGCGCCTCCGCCTGGCGCGCGGGTGGCGCGCGGAGCGTGGAGCGGTGCTGGTCCCTGTCGGGCAAAGGCGCGCACTGCAGCCGGCGCGGGCGGCGCGCGGCTTTGAAGGCTTCGCGGCGCCCCGGGCGCGACCGGTCCCTTTCCGCCTTCTGCGCCCGGGCGCCGGGAGAACGAGGGCAGGGACGCGTGTGCCCGCAGGCCCTTTACACGTCCGGGCTCAGAGTATTCGGGGGCCCTTTGATTGAGAAATGCGGGTTGCCAGGAGGTCGGGGCTTCCGGAAACTTGGTTTTGGGGTCGTATTTTGGGTCCGGTTCCAAAGGGACAGCAGCTCCCGGGGTCATAATCGCGACCTCTGCCCAACGCTTCCCGCAGCTACTGGTGTTTGGGGTGAGCTGTGGGATGACCGAGCTTCCAGTGAGGTGCGAGTGGGCAGGGGGTCCAGACTCCGGCCTTGGGAAACCTCGTCGCTAACCAGGGGCCTGGCCAGCGGCTCCCACCCCTTCTTTCCGGTCATCACCCCCCAACCCCTACAAGCGCGACTCCCTCGAGTCCTCAGTACCCCCCCCAGGTCCAGTTAGCCTCCAAAAGGCTTGAGACTATGGAAAACAAAAGGGAGAGTCGAACCGAGCCCCACTGCCTGCCCCCGTCCCCCCTTTCCCCCTTTCAGGACCCGGAGAGGCTGGCAGATAAAAGGGGGCTGACCCGGCGGATTAAAACCGCTCTCTTCCCAGCCTCGCCCCCACTTTTGTCCTTAATGTTTTCATTATTGTCAGGAGTTGCCCAAGTCTCGAAGTTAAGCCAGCCGTGACAGTCACCCTTCCCGCCGTCCCGGGCGGTGGACACCGGTGGTGGAGAATCGGGGCTCTGGAGTCCGACGCCTGCACTCCCGTCCTGGCTCTGGCAGCTCGCTAGAGGCGTGAGCCTCAGTGCTCTGTTCTCCGCAGTGGGTTCTCCACAGGGCAGGAAGGAGCGAACGCGCGGGTGCGCTAAGGTGCCGCCGGGCTGGCACAGGGGGTTCTCTCTAATTGTCAGCTGTTGTCTTTATCGATTGTATTGTTATTATTACTTCTACCCCCACGCCTCCTGCTCCTTCTGGGATGGTGATTCCGGGTGGCTGGGATGGCAGGCTATCGCTAGCTCCCTTGTAGTTGGAACCCACCAGAGGCCGGAGGCAGCCCGAGATTTTCTGAGATCAGACACATTGGGGGCCGGATTGGGAGGAACTGGCAGGAAAATAAGGGACTCCTTAATGTCGGGCGGCTTCAGAGGCACCTGGGGCAGGCTGTGGAAATCCCCACAGGAAGATGCGCGCAGTCTCTTAGGCGGCCGCCCTCCACCTGCCACGTTCCTTTTGATTGACTCGAAAACGCCCAATAAAGAGCCGAGGCGCCCTGGAAACCCTCACCGCGCCTGCAGCGGGGAGCGCAGCCCGGGGCCTCGTGCCGGACAGGCGTCCGGGGCGCCATGCGAGCGGCCGCGCGGGGCAGCTGGTCTGGGGGACCGCGGGGGCTGGGCCGGGCCGCGGGAGGTGGGAAGTTCATCATCCCCCCCCCGAGCCATCGCTCTAAACTGAGGAGCTGGACCGTCGGGGCCCAGAGGCCCGGGGTCCGCGGCGCTGACCCCGCGGACCGGGCGGCAGGAGGAGCCAACTGCGGACACAGCGGCTCGCCCCGAACGCTGCGTTCCCGGGGCTGCTCCATCAGCGCCGGGCGTGGCCGCTGGATCAGTGTTTTTTTTAAGGGAAAAAAGTATTTTAAATACCATTTGCTTAATTAAAAATTTTAAATTAATGAATATTCTTGGATGTCTGGGCAGATGTGTGGACTTAATTATTTTAAAAGTTGCCGTTTTAACTTTAAACAGACACACGGGGAGGAGACGCTTGATCGAGAACGCTTTTCCTGAAATCCGGTGCCCAGGGAGCGCCCTGCCCCTCGCTGGAGTTCTGGCCGCTCGGCCAAGCCCTGGTGCTCGCCGGAGGTGCGCTCCATGGTGTCTCCCGCTCGTCCTACAATCAGGCAGCAGATTGCAGAAGAGTATAAATAATAATTACCCAGAGAGAGCTGCAGTTCAGAAACGTGGTTAAAACACGTCCTCAAAACTAGAAAATAAGAGAGAAGGGGAGACATTTTGAAGGCATTAAAAAACTGTGGGCACGGATGGTTGAATGCGAGGGTCATCGTCCTAATGGACTGGAGAACGAGATCTTGGCTGTGTCCGAGCAAGTCGTTAATGGGTCTAATTGGTTGTTACACAGTCTTGGTAGTGGCCTAACCAGTAGCCCAGGGCCTGGACGGATTTGCATGAAGTCTCGGAATTTGATTGCAGTTCCTTCCACTTGACATAACCAGATACCCTCAGCTCCAACAGGGGAGATCACGGTGGGATGGAGCCCACCGTGCTTGCCACGCAGAGCTGACCTTCCCCCGCCCACAGAGAGTGGGAGATTTCTGCTCCCTTATCTGCTGCAGAAGTCCAACGTGCGAGTCCTGGCCCCTGCCGTCCATCTGCCCTGGAACCCAAGTTTGTTTCAGTCTGGGAGTAAGACTCTTGTGGGTTTAGTTGCCAGTTCACTGTCCAATTCTCTCTCTGAATCTGGCCTCCCCAGTTTAGCAGGTGCTGGTGAGCACCTCAAGAGTGGTTTCTCAGGACTTTTGTGAAACTGGCCTTTCTCTTATGCCACGGATGACACCAGCATTTGAGAAATCGGGGTTGTGGCTCAGGAGGACCTCACATATACGAGGGGAGAGAAGGAGTACCCTGTACGTTCATGCTCTTGAATATTGATTTAAACTTTGAATGGTCTCAAATTAAACATATACATTCTTTAGTAAGTTTCTCTTTTTGATTTGGCTTTAGTTTGGTAGATTTTCATGAATTTTAATGACCTCAGTTTGGGAATTAAGTTAGCCAAATGTCGTATGATTATTATTTTTTTTTATAGAAATATGCCCTGGATTTTACAGTGGCAGAGACCCCTTCCTCACCTTGACTCCTCTTTCCATTTTTGGTTGTATAAAATAAGCTGACACTTCAATGCTGTGGCCACATTAAAAAAAGTGTAGCGTGTGTGTGGTTTAATAATGTTGGTAGCTAACACTTACTGAATGTTTTCCCTCTGTGCCAGGCACTGTTTCAAGTTTTACAGGATTAGCAAATTTAATCCTCATTACAATCCTGTGAAGTAGGTACTTTTACAGATGAGGAAACACAGGCACAGAGATGTTAGGCAACTGGCTCCAGGTCTCACAGCTGGAAAATGGCAAAGCTGAAATGCCAACCCAGGCAGTCCGGCTCCAGAGGTCACTCTGTGCCACATTCCCTCGCTTAAGTGACCAAAACATAATGTTGGTCATATACGATGAGTTCAAAACTGGGTTTGCTTTAAAAGAGTTGGAGTTTCCTGATGTGCCTCCAGTGACCTCAGTGTGAATTGCTCACTTGGTCATTCGCTTTAAAAGACGGTATCAGCTCCAGGACAGGCCAGTTCCTCCACCAAAGTGGGTTTATAACTAGAGTGAGGCAAATTTCATCACTGTGGCAGTTTCATTTCTCCGCCAGCTCAGGACAGTTGCAGTCAAAGGAGTCAATAAAATGACAAAAATATCCCTCGAGTAGAAAAGCTGAGAAAACATAGCGAGTGTCCCCACTGAGTAGGTTTATTCTCTTCCATTTGCCCTTTTTTAAGGCTGGGAGGTGAGGGAGGCCATAGGGTTAAATGAGATGTTTCAACTCCTAGGAATGAATTCATTCATTTAAAAAAAGCACAGTGCCCTACTCCAAGACTGAAAACTTGTACTTAGTAACCAGAAGGCAATTATAGTAGATTTCTTTGCAATTAGATTCTAAAACCCAGTAAGTTCAGAAAATCCCCTTTTGGAAGCTAATAGCTGAAAATAGCAACTTTACATTTTTAACAAATGCTGAGAAAACTAATTTCTCCCCTATTTTCCTAGTCTGTTTCTACAAACTTGGTGGCAAAGCCTGTTTCTGTCTTCACTAAGGGGAATTTTAGATAAGATCTGATTGGGGATAATCCTTTTCAAAGTAATTGCACTTTCTCAGTCCTGGAGTTTAAGCCAAGTATGTCACTCACTTCAGGCTGCTGGGCGAAGATCAAAACTCTACATTTATATGCAACAATTTGAAATACCAACCATCGTGTTACAAAGCTGTCAAGATTTATTAGCAGGACAGAGTAGCATGTGTGGAACTCTGTTTTTAATTAGGCACCTAAATTAGACCATAAAATGGTTGATTAATCTTTTACAAGTTGAGGGGGAAATATAACATAAATTAACCTAATCATAAGTGTTTTCCCAGATGCTCTGAGTTAATAAAGTAATCA